GATTCCTATTTGGATCAACCAAACTACCCCTTATGGCACGCAATGCTTTTACTGCATACAATGAAAATTTGAAAGTCACCATATTTTTTAGTATCAATACTTTATAATTATATCTCTCCACTGTTTCTTTATTTACAAACTTGAATTTCATCCATCCGAATTTCAAAAGACAAATTTTGTCAGTGTGAACAATACTCATTTCACCTTTGGCAAATATGTCCTTTCACTTTAAGAATTATTTACAATCTGTGTGGCATAATAAAATTAACTATTTAAGCACGATACAAACTCAGTCGGGGGGCTTAAAATTGGGCTCTAAAGTATAAACAAATGGCATGTGAGGGAAAAAGTGGCTACCTTCATCAGGATGAGTTACTTGACTGTCTGCCCTAATGAACAGCATAAACCAGCAAAGCCATACCAGCAAACTCGCTTCAATTGGTGTGAATTTTATGATTTTCATTTCCCGAGTTCAGAAATCTCCTCTACTACTACAAATATTACAAAAAATCTGAGCCCAGATTCAGATATAGTAAGCAAAATGACTACCTAAACAAAGAAAGGTGATGCAAAGATGCAATCTTTAGACCAGTGATGCAAATCCCACACACCCACAGATTCAAGAAACTAATAAACTACGTATTGTTCTACAATGATTGGATCACACTTTCGGGAAACAAGGGCGCAATTGAAATCAATCAATGGGAAAGCCAGAGAAAGGAAATACAAACTTAACCAGCAGGTTTCATGCTCACCTTTAAAGAGCTGCTGGCAAAATGAGTACCCAAAAGGGAGGAAGGATTGGTAAATGTGTATTTCCAGAGTCATATGAGAACAGGTGAATTTCCAGCAAGGGCGCTGACTGGGTCGCCATCGAAGACTGGGCTGCTGTGATTTCTTGTTAATCACAGTTTGGTCTGGGAAGGTTGACTTTCTAGACGGAGTGTGGCAGCATATACGTGTGGAGCTTTTTATGATTGGATGAAGAATGGCTCAACCATATTTTCTGGGTTAGGAGTGGGCGGGGTCGCAGAGCACCAATCGGAAACCCTGTGAAAGGAATATGGCATATCTTGCCCATTCACACTTCGCCATTGACATAGTCAGTCTCACACGGTCAGATTCTTCTGTCCTTGGGCTCGTTAAGTGAATTTTTCGTCAAAGTACTTTTCAATCTTCCATTTCATCTAAATTAGGAGGGGTTTAATGCACTAACCCTATGATATGGAAATTTGACACATTAGCCTTCTACTCCGTATAATTTAAAAATGTGTCAAACTCTCTTGTATTTTAATTAATTATGCGCAAAATCACTTAAATGGACAAATTCAATTATCAAATAAAAGAAAAATGATTAATATTTTGTTTGATTCAGATATTTTGACATACCAAGTATTTACTTGCATCTTCAATCAAAATATTTGGAAAAGTGGTTTTCAAATCGTTAAATTTATTCATAAAAGGGGATTCTGTGCATGATTAATTAAAACACAGGGGGGTTTGGCGCATTTTTCAAATCACACAAGACTAATGTGCCGACTTTCTATGTCACGAGAGAATTTGGTGCATTAAACTTAATTTAGGAGTGCCAAAAAAGAGTAAAAAATTGAGGTCTAGAGGAATTGAACCAACCACCTAACATATACTCTCTACAAACTCAAATCACATATTACTAGTTTTTTGAAAATATATTACTCCCTCCGTCCCAAAATGATGGTCTTGTATTTCCTTTTTGGGATGTCTCAAAATGATGGTCTTATTTCCTTTTTTGGTAAAGAACTAAAAGTGGATTACCATTTATATCCCTCTTTTTTAATGAACAGTATAATAAAGGAAGGTTCTTTAGGGAGTTTTTGCAATTGCTTCAACTTTAAAAAAGTGATTTTGGGAAAAGTGATTAATAGTAAAAGTTGGTGGTGTTTGAGAAAAAAGTGATTCTAAAAAAGTAAAAGTTGGTAGTGTTTGGTAAAATAAGTACTGTTTGTGTAATAGAAAAAGTGAAAATCAGTTTAAAGCACCCTTCTACCTGCTTCAGCTTTTAGCTTTTAAGTGATTAATTTAAGCAGAAGCTATCATTTGAAAATACTCTTTTTAGTTTTTTTTAAGTCAAAAGCTGAAAAACGTTTTTTTTAAGCAACCGCAAACACTTTTTTAGTCTCTCTACCACACTTTCTTAATCTTTGTGCCCAAAAGAAACAAGACCATCAAATTGGGACGGAGGGAGTACTTCTTTGTTAACTAGTTATAAAAGATATTAGAAGCATAATAACTTCAAATATTCAATTAAAAATAACTACTTAATAAAAATATACTAAAACTTAATTTTGGATGAGAAATTAAAAATAATTCAAAACAAAATGAAATAAATGCAAATAATGGTCATGCTATGCCATTTAAATTAAGTGTAAAAAGTAAAAGAAAGTAAAATAAATGTAAAATAAGCTTACATCAAATTTAAAAACAAAACTTATATAATAAATGTAAATAACGTGTAACAATTTATATGTATTTATTTAAATACTTATTATTTATATATGTATTTCTTTATTTATTTATTTATTATATATTTATTTGTTTGTTTGTTTACAAACTAAAAAGTTATTAATTTTCTAATTTTCTCAACCTAGTTTATTAATTTACTAAAACCATTAGTAAATTTGTTACTGAGTTACTAATTTACTCAAAAAATTATTTTAAGATACTCCAATAAAAATATTAGTAATGTAAAAATGTCTTAAAATTTATTTCAGAAAAATTATGTATATCGTTTCAATCTGGTTTGGGATCAACTCAATTCTCAAAAGCTTATCTATACAAAGTGTTAACGTTCTTCCAAAAAACTTAATTTGAGATGCTCAATTAAAAAATATTATTAATGCATAAGTATTAATAAAAAGTGTAAAATATATAATTAATTAGATAAATAAGTAAATATATATATATATATATATATATATATAAATGAGTAAATATATATATATATATAAGTAAACTAATAATAAATAAATAAATAAATTTACACTATTTAAATTAATAATATAATTTTTTAAAAATTTGGTGTGAGCTTGGGCATATCATGACACTTCTTCACATTTAATTTATTTTGTGTTGAATTATTTTTAATTTCACATCCAAAATTAAGTTTTAGTATATTTTAATTAGGTATTTACTTTTAATTGAATATTTGAAATTATTATGCTTTTATTATATTATATTTATACCTATTTGAGGAAGAATTAGTATATTTTTCAAGAAACGGGTAATACATGAGTTAAACTTGTATGTTTCTGAACTTAACATGTGTATACTTCAAATATTCCTAAGGAAGAAGGAACGCTCACGAGTTCTATTCCTCCTAACCCTGATTTTTTAACATTATTTAGCACACCTGAGTTAGATGATATAGAAGTCATTGAATGTGGTGAAATATGTGACGTGACCATTGTGCTGATAAGACATGAATGGACATGATAATTGTACATGGCGGATGACGAGGCAAAAGTACCCTTATTTGAGAAATAAGTTTAAAACTTATTATTGAAAAATAAGTTTAAAATTACCTCTATTTGGGAAATAAGATTGAAACTACTCATATTTGTTAAAAAAAAACTCCTCAATTTGTATTAAACAGTGGTAGATTGAGGATAAGGAAAGTTAGGAAACCTTTTACTCTTTCCCAATAGAAGAATCTCATCAAGACTTTCCAAATACACCCTTATTTTACATTAAATCAAATAAAAAGTAGAAAAAACAAAGATAGTTATTACTTTTTCTTTGAAATGATTGCCTTTTATAGAAAAGAGAGTTTTTTGGAACATCCACAAAAGGAAACTCAAAATTTCTTTTAGTAGAAGTATCGTTATCTTTATCTTTATATATATAAAGATAACATGGTGGAGAATCAAATAGATAGTAGAAGTATGGTTATCTTTATCTTTATCTTTATATATATAAAGATAACATGGTGGAGAATCAAATAGATAAATAATTTCCCTCCTAAATAAGTGAAAAATTGTTTGCAAGTTATTTAATGTACATTTATTAAGTAAATAACGAATATAACTTTTATGATGATACTAAATTACTAACATTGTAGTACTGTAGTAGTAACTTATGAAGTATACTAAAATATTTACAGTTGGACTAACTTCAATTTCAGAATAGCCCGAACCAGACCTCACTACAAGAATCTTATCATAATGTGACAATTTTTTTATAATGTAAAATTCATTTTTTCTAACCAAAACATTTATATGACGAATTATTAGCGTCACACAGATAGTTATTGTAGTTTCGTGGTATTGAGTATATGTGATAAATTTTTGATTCGTCACCAAATAAATAGTATTTAATGATGTTTTAAACTTTATCACCATTATTAATCACTTGTTGTGACGCTACTTATAGGCACAATACAAGGCATGGCTATACGTCCAAAAATGCTAGCTAATGAGAAGATGACAAATGTCCTATAAAAGCCTTGGGGAATACGCTTAGTGTAGTCAGGTGGCGGATCATGCTGATATAGGATGAAAATAGCAATGGTGCCAGTCCTTGGGAACCAGATTATGATGTCAACAGTGATGTGAGCTATTGGAAACCGGATTGTGATGTCAGTAGTAGCGGGTGCATGTGATCTAAGCCCTAAATGCACATGTGTGTAACGCCCGTGAAACGGGTAAGTGTGGGACTGTAATTGAGTCGAGGCGGATCAAGTCTGCGCAACCTCGCCATGTTGCTTCACTGCAGAATCCTAGAATTATAATGATTGGGCTCGGCCTAGCTCGTTGATGTAGCTCAACCTCAAATCAGACTCACCAACAAAGAGTTGACTATAAACTATGACACTGGCATCAGCCCGCTATATAGATGACGTAGGCTCTAGTTCTTGATCGTATATTTCTGGGGGCCTTAGAGTATATGACAGTAACGTACTCCAACATGAGGAATCAATGATAATCAATCTATGCGGGAAGACGAAGATGATAAATGATTGAACAGGCCAATCTGATGCAATTAATAATAAAATAATGAAAACAAGAACTGAAGAATTTCAGTTAAGAAAAAGAAACTTATAAAGCTTGAGTTTTCAGAGAGAGTGAATCGAGATGTTTGAAGAGAATAAGAGGACTTAATACACCAACTATCCAAGACACAATGTTAATATTCCAAGGATAAAATATTACAAAGAAGCCAACTAAGTAATGAGAAATTACCAAAGGCCCAAACAATTAGTAAGTGTTTTTTTTTGTTATTAAACATTTTGGTTGATTATTGTTAAAGCGTTCTCATCAAATCATATATGCTTTCCTTCGAACCGCATCTGCTTCATCTCGAACCTTTTGTGCTTCATCCCGAACCCTTTGTGCTTCATCCCGAACCCTTTGTGCTTCCTCACAAACCTTTTGTGCTTCACGCATATCTGCAATTGAATCATAATTAATAGTACTTCGGAAAGCATAAGCTTCACTCCGAACTCTATCAGCTTGACCCCGAACTCTGTCAGCTTCACCACGAACTCTATCAGCTTCATCCCTAACTCCACCACCCTTTTGGCGATAAGCTTGTCGATCATGATGAGAACGACTTTTATGTCCAATTGATCTTGCTTCTTCCCAAAAAATGTTGATTTCTTCTCGAACAATATCGATTTGAAGTCGAACATTATCTATTTGTTCTCGAACTCCAATGAACATATGTCGAACATTGTCTAATTCCTTTCGAAGTCTATTAGCTTCTTGAAGGACATTTGGCTGAACAATGTCATCTCTCTGCCAAATCCAACATTATAATTTTTCAAATAATTCATCCTATTATTAAAGGAAAAATCATTTGTGCATGTTTTATACACGTCTTAGACATTTTGTCATTATGACAAGTAATTTGTCTAAAAAATTACAAGGTGAGAGGTATTATGTTTTACTAATAATATACAAGGCGTGTATAAAAATGACATGTATTATACTTCGTATATGCTATACAAGGCGTCTCATTAAAAATGTTTTACTTGAATTGATAATTTATGGTCTAATTTGATCATGTTGTTATGTTTAATTCTAATTTAATCTATTTTAGTTTTGTCTTGTGTAGTTCAATTTTTTAAATATTTAGTATATGTGTCTTTAATATTACTATTAGGGAGAGGGAAACCAATATAATCATAATGAGCTTCCTTGATAAGATGAGTTCTCATACGGACTTCCCAAATTTATACAAATGTATATTTAGAGCCCATTTGTTAACAACTGCATTTGTTAACTTTTTATCAAATATATAACTTTTAATTTCACACGTTGAATTATGAAATGTTTTGACTGAATTGTGCAATAGTCAAAATATATAATGTGCGATTACTTATTTGACTGAATTGACTAAAATTGGACGAATAAAACTATTTTAGCTACATTTTCATAAAATATTTTCTTTATTTTATTAATAAAATATATTTCAAATATATATATTTTTGACAACCCAACAGATGCAACAAATTTAGTTGCATACCAATAATTTCATCGATTTCAACATTGTTTTCCAATTTAATTCGCCAAACCTCAGTATTACCAAATGGAACGTAAATGTGTGTGTGTAAATGTTGAGTTTTTTATGCACTATTTATAGGGGGCAGAGGTAGAGGGGATAGCCGGGGTCCGGCCCACCCCTAAATTTGAAAAATGTTTATATATTTAGCGTAAAATTTTATTTAAAAAAACTTTGTACCAATCCACCTCAAACTTTACTCTTGGCTATGCCTTGCACTGAAAGAATATTTAATTGAGTTACTAATACCTTTTTCGCCGTATCTAGTTCCATCCGAATTTTCCCACGAACTCTGTCCCAACAAAGAGAAGTTTGATGAGAAATACTAATCAAACAAAATAGAAGTTCTAAGTTACGGAGTATATACAAGCGTTTATAATTAGATGTAAATTAAATCTGAAAATCTCTTATTTCTTTTACATACCAGATGCTCACATTTTAGCCCTCATTACTCAGTTGTGTATATTTAGTCATTCATTTGTGAGTACTAGAGAATATGTTTCAAGTGTTCAACACAATACACAAGGACTGTTTTGTTGGAATTCACTTGATTCGGCTAAAAATCTCACACGATTGATGTGTATTGTTGAAGAGTGAAGACTCAAATAAACAATTAAATTCATATTAAGAATGCTATCACTTTGATTGAAATTTTCTAATTTGGTAAAATCTAATATTATACTAGGTGAATCGTGACTATAGAAATACTATCGTATTTAATTTGCATGCATATATGTGACTAGTGACTATATATAGTAGTAATGCAATCATAGTAATTTATGTTCAGCTTTTAAATTTAGTTACCATGATACTACATGGTAGCAACTATTAATCATATACTATCGTATATATGAGAATATTTCCCGAAATAGGACTAATAAAAAGGTTTGAAAATTCCAAAATAGGACTGTCATGTCTGTATTCCCTAAATAAGATTAATTACTGTCATGTTTTGGCAGTACCAGACTTCAAACATGGCAGTATTTTCCAAACATGGCAGTAATTACTCCGATTTTTGGAATAAAAAACATGACAGTCCTATTTTGAAATTTTCAAACTGTTTTAGTCCTATTTCGGAACTTTCCCTATATATTTGTGTAAATGTGGTTTATTTAAGTAATATTTTTGAAACCCCCGTCTAATATGACATTTCAGCCGTTTGAAAACATCACAAGTGTTTCAGTCGTCGAGCATCCACCACGGCAGCACAATTATGGCAACTTTGTTTGCTGGTTTCAAATACCATAAATAAAAGAACTCTTCGATAGCATTTTGGAGTTTATTTATTTTGCTGGTTAAAATTACTAGTAAAATGCATACCCTCAGGGCCTCAAGATCCTCATTCGGTCATTCCTCAAAGCTATTGTAACATGATATGGGATGTGGCACAAATTTGGGGAATTTGATGTGGTTATAAAAACCAATGTTAAGGTTGATTTATAATGGGATTGAATACGTAATGAAATCAAAGCTAAAAAAATAGTCTGAATTTCCAAATTTTTCAAAAGTTAAACGTTTAGATTCAAATTACCTCTGGTAAAATAAGATTCAAACTACCTAATCCCATTATTTTTATTGAAATATTGATAAATATATTACTAAAATAAAGATATAATTGATTAAATGAAACTTTTTATACTACATGTATACCATGACTATAATAATAACTTTAGTCACTATAATGATTTTGAGATTTATATTGTAGTGACTATGTTGATATACTTGTAATTTAAGTTATATTTTTATGTAACACTTTTATTTAAGTAATACTCCGTATTTAAGGAACAACCTGCTTTTTTTGCTTTTTTATACACGGAGTACTATTTATTGTTTGCGCCCCCAAAAGTGCATATCAATAGTAGATTTACAAAATATCGTTAATGTCCAAATCGGGGTTAAGGCCTAAAAAAAGTCATGGAAGCAAACCTTAGTCTCTGTGCTGTGGACTTTACTTCTTTCGACATAAATGGATCAGAATCTTCATCCACCATTTCAATTGGGATCTGAATGACGTTAGGAAACTCTCGTGAGTACGAAAAGGGTTATCCCATGATTTACTAAATGTGATATGTATCTAAATGATTTAGAAACACACAAGTTTTTAAAAGTTTAGAATTATGTTATGTATAAACTAATTATAGTGTTTATTGGTCAAAATTGTTCGGTAAATAAATCAAATCTCGTGTTACAAAGATGTACGGTACTTTTAGGGTATGGTAAAATTTGCCGATATAATTTTTTCATCTCAAATCTAAAAATGATAAAGAAATAAGCGCACCTCGCGGACAACCTGGTCGTCTTCGTCATGTTTAACAATTCTGTCTTTAATGGCCTTCATTGTCTAATTTTTTCCTGAATGATGAGTGCAGTTTTCCATGATACTTTTTAATTAAGAAAGGCATATATATGTTTACCATTGTAAATCAGTTATTTTTGTGGGAAATCTCCCAAATTAAACGTAAAAGAAAGACAATTCTTCTTTGTATCATTCCGGTTTTATCGGATGTCCCCAAAGAGATAAAATTATTCTTAAGAACCCAATGTTTGTTCAGAAATACAAGTACACAATAGTATCATACTTTGTATTTGTTTCAGAAGTAGAACACTATACAATAATGTCACGTTAAAATCATGCGAACATATTTGATATTAGAATATTAATACTCCATATGACTCATCTATTAATCATTTAATCGTTGTCATATTGTGTCATTATTTTTTAGAATGACAATAATTACTCCTATATACGGAGTAGCAAATAACATACACCGTACTATCATAGTACGTAGGAAATGACATTATTTTTTTACTCATATTGATCTTATCTCGGACACTTTGTTATTATATTTTAGATACATAATTAATGAACTAACTACTGACCACAGTATTGAAGTGCCTTCTTAACTCGGTTCTCTTAGAATCCCACCGATTTGAGATGACGGATTAGTTTATTGTTATCCTGCAAGTCTCAGGTTAGTATATTGCGGAGTTTTAGATTAATAAAACTCATACTTACCAAACCCGCAAAAAAATAAAACTAAAGCAAAACTTTAAACCAACACACAAAAAAACATTGCACACAACTAGTTAGCCAGCAAATAAACATTGCACACAAAAAGTGGGATTGAACACCCGCCCTATGCCCTCACATCCTGCCTTACATAGTCTTGGAGGAAAAATTAAATCACGTCTCACAACTTTTTCCCAGTATGGATTTTGGGACTAGTCGGGCCTAGTAGACTCCTAGCTCCGCCCATGGTTTCGGATACAGGGTGTAGTTAGGGAGCCAATCCTGATCCTGATCCAGTCCAAATTTAAAAAGTGGTCAGTCCGACCCAGTGTCCTGACTCCGCCCCTGCTCAAATATCGAGAAGAGGCCACATTGAACAAAACTTCTACACTATCATTGCAAGGGTTAATTAGAATTGAACCCTAGATCAATGCACTCAATGACCGCAACGAGACGTAACACATAGCGGAAGTAGGGGGCTAGCTTAACTGAGTCCCGGCCTACCTCAAATATGAAACATGTTTCGCTTTAAGAATAAAAATTTTTGTGTAAAAATTTATGGTACTGATCCACCCCAATTTTTACCTCTCGCCACGCTCGTGCTTAATATTAGGAACTGGTTCGTCTACCAATTAATTGAGGATGTGGGTTCTGGAGAGGCGTGGTGAAAAAACGTTTATATAGGAATGAATGGAGGATACGATCAATCATAGAAACTGAGGGAGGATGTAGGTGGCTGAGATTCTCATTCAATTCCTAGCTTGCCACAACAATTTTCCCTTTCAACTTAGCTTGTAGGAGAACATTACTAATGGCCTTATATGGAGCATATGTAAAGGAAATATATTTCGCTTTTATCCTTTGAGAGTATGAATATTGTACTAATTCCAAAGTGGTCTGCATCTTTGACCACATTTGATATGTGACACTTATTTTTCGTCTATATATTGTTTTTCTTTTTAGTGATTAATTAAAATCGGTCAAATATATGTCGGAAAATTGGACAGAAGAACCACAAATGTCAATAAGTAATAATTAAGTGTTAAAATTAAATGAAGTGAAATACAAAATTTAAACTAAATATTACATATAAAATTGACATAAAACTCAGGAACAAAACTCAATTTACTCGTCCCAAAGGAATCTCTAATTCCTTGTCCCAAACAACATAGCGTAACGAACCTTTCTTTTTGATAGGACGAAGTCTTGTGAAATTCTAATTCCTTAATTGTCTCCATAACTAATTGAGCTTTAGGCATATTTAGGGGACGAAAGAAAGGCATCATCACATCATGTACTAGTTTAATTTAATGATGCTTAATTAATTGGATTGAAATTTTTATCCCATTTAGAGCATCTTCAATGGTAAAATGTGCACGGTGCACACGTGACATGAGAAATGACCACATAAATATTACTAAATAAATTCTTTCTCTCCTTATTTGAATGATTTTATACAGTTTTGGAATGTTTTTCTCCACAATGTCAAGGAGACCGTCTAGATGTTGACATTGTTGTTGACATTGCAGGGAAAAACTTAACAAAATTGTATAAAATCATTCAAATTTGGAGAGAGATAATTTATATGCTAATATTTATGTGGCTATCACTCATGCCACATGTGCACCGTGCACATTATAGCATTGGAGATGCTCTTAGTATGTTTTCATTTCTTCAACTGTGATCCAGTTTGATTAGCGAATGTTGTACTTGTATTTTACTACTACGTACGTAGTATAATTTAAAATTTAGAAATTACTACAAATAGAACTAAAACTATGACAAAAACTCAAAATAGGACTTGCTATGTTTTTATTCCAAAATAGGACCATAGTGGTCCTATTGGAAACATACCAATTTCTTCCTTCCATTCTTACTCCTCCTTTAAATATTAGTAAAAGATAGCTAAAAGTCATAATTAAATGTTTGATTCATAATAAATCCGAAAAAATTTCAATAATTCGTAGAAAAATAATAAAAAATTAATAAAATTTTTATAAAATAAAAAATAAGAATTTTTTTTAATTTATTTTTTGAAAATTAATAAAAAATAGTAAAACTCCATAAAAAAAATTAAAAAAAAATATGGATATCTTTCCCACCGCCTGTACTACCTCTTTGAACCACCACCTCCGACCGATGTAAAAAATGCCACTTTTTTTTAAATTCCACAAAAATGGCATATTTCTCTATGAGAATGCCAACATTTTCATTCTATCAACTTGAATCCTTTTGAATTTTGCCAAAAATATGATATTAATAATTTTTTTTGGCATTTTTTACCCCGGTGACAGGAGGTGGTGGTACCGCCTCCCTGCACCACCACCTCTGACCGTTAAAAAAATGCCATGTTTCCTACAAACTTCCATTTTTTTCGAAAAATGCCAAAAATATGGCATATTTCTCTTTGACAATGCCAATATTTTTTTCTGTCATCTTAAATCATTCTCAATTATGCCAAAAATAAGGAATTTATAATAAATTTGGCATTTTTCCCCAAATGACTAGAGGTGGTGGTGCTGGGGCGGCAGAGGCGGCGGTGACAAAAAAAAATTTGATTTTTTTTCAAAATTTTTTAATTTTTATTTTTTTATTTTTTTTAAATTTATTATTATTCAAAATATTTTTATTAATTGTTTGGTATATTTTACGAATTTTTATTATTTTTTATTATTTTATTATGAATTAAAACATTCCAATAGGTATAAGGGTATATTTGTCCAAGACAGTGTTTTTAGCATAGACAATTTCCTTTGATACTTAGAATGTTTTTTTGGACTGTTTTTAGTCCCAGAGCAGACCAGATCATACCAAACCAGACTTAAACGGACCAGACCAGATTTGGACAATTATAAAATACACAGAGACCAGACATTTATCATACCAGACCGGACCAGTCTTAAACAAATCAGGCTAGACTTATACAGACCAGACCAGACCAGCAAATTTTAGTCCAAAAGAAAACATCCTTACACGATGAGCATTGAAAAGAGGCGAGCACAATCTTTTGAGAGAGTTGGTGTTTTTTACATCTTTCTATTTTCACCCATGGTCAACTTTACGGCGCTGTCTGTGGGTAACATCCCCCTCTGGGTTGAGTTGTATTATATGCGATGATAACCGAAAACCGACTAAGAAGAGTTTAAATGTAGTTTACAATAGGTATACAATAACTTTTAATTTTTTATCTTCATTTACTTCTGTTAAAAACAATATACGTGTTGCTTTATCTATTTTACAACATTTCTTTATATTTACAAGTAATTTATTGCTTATTGGCCTCATCTAGTATTACATAATAATACTCCCTAATACCATAAAATATCACGCATTTTATTCAAATATGATCATTGGTTAACGTTGTTTAAATTGTGATTCTTTTCTTTCAAAAAAATATCCTGATTCTTTCAGTAGTAGGAAATGGATTATTATAAAAGTACTACGTATATCGTAGTATCCTATAAAAACGAACGAATTATATCGTGATATACCAAAACTCTTGATATACCATCAGCAATGTAACTTTCCCTTTTTTGTGTATTTCTTTTTTACATTTATACACTTTTTTTGTAAAATAATTTTCATATTCATACCATTTTCTATAATTAATTTCTTATCACTTTTGTATGTTTTAGTGTTTTTAAAACATTAAGTTTGTTTATTTCAATTTAAATTTGATAAAATATGAGATTTCATTTTTCATATGTGTGTTACGTTTATAAACATTATAAGAAGTTACATTTGATAGTACGTATATGGAGTTACATATTCTTATGTGCGAGTTACATCTTTTTGTGTGTAAATTACATCTTTCTATGCATGAATTACATCTTTCTATGCGCCAATTATATTTGAGTTTGTCGTCTCAACAAGTTGCATTTTATACAATTTTATCACAACATAAAGTCCTGCTATGGAAACAAAAGAGTCATTGTTTTGCAACAACAAAAAAACAAATCTTTTGGCAAAAAAATGAACTTTTTGGGGGAAAAAAGTTTTTTTTTTTTTGCAAAAACAATAATTTTTCAATTTTTTTTAATGACCTTAATACTAAAAACAAAATGTATTCACTATTTAAGCAAACCTCTTCTGTTGAAACAAAGTCGCTTTTTTGCAAAAACAAAATGATTTTTTTGGCAAAAAAAATGATTTTCTCCCAAAACAAGATTTAAAAGAACATTTTTATGACCTTAATATTAAAAAGAAAACATATTTACTATTTAGGTAAAGTAATCGAGCAATTAGACTCCTTGTTTTTATTAAAATCAATGTTTTATTTCTTATAATCTGTATTAGACAAGTTACGTTTCGATTTGTTTTCAATTACATTTGTTATCAACGCGAGTTACATTTCTTTTAAACATCAGTTACATGATTCTGTCGCTGACAATAAAAAAACAAAAACAAAGTTATTGTTGGCGCCTATGTAGCACCAATACCGGTACGCAGAAACGCGGAAACGTGGAAACGGGTACGAGGATACGTCAAAACCAAAAAAAGTAGGATACGGATACGGGGCCATATTTATAAATATTAAAAGTTATGAGGGTGTATTTACAAATATTAAAAGTTATAGGGGTCTATTTATAAATATTAAAAATACATTTTCTTTTAATATATATATATATATATATATATATATATATATATATATATAATATCCTTGATGTCTCCTCATTCATTGCATTGAAGCATTTTCCTTTTTTAAGATACTTAGTAATAAATTCATAATATTTCCCATATACACTTGTATATCTCGAAATATAAATGTAGTCAATAAGTCATTATTTTAAAATGAGAAATAAGTGAAACAACTACAATCTTGAAATTAAAAGTGCAAGTACCCATTTCGGAGTATGAGTTAATGACTTAATTCGGATATAGCCATGTGGGCCCATTATTTGATTACCAAGTAAAATGTAGTTTTAGATTTTTTTTTTTAGAATTTTATTAAGTAATTTTTGGGATTTTTTTTTAAAAAGAAGTTGATACGGGTATCCGTCAGGATACGAGTATCGGAAACTTTCAAAAAATTACAAAAAAATATGGAAACTTTTAAAATTTGCAGATACGGCCCGAGAACGTACGGTACGGGTATCTTAGAGTATCGGATACAGGAACGTATCCGATACGCCGATACGCTACCCTAGGGAAGTATCCGTGCTTCATAGGTTGGCGCACATTTGCGGTTTGTGAGTGCATGTTCACCGTGGGATGCTGCCGGGATATAGCAGCTGGCGGAATTGCGGTGCGTTGCTCAAGTGGTAATGATATAAAATGAGTGGTGCTACAATTAGACACTTGTACTCGTAACTTGAGTTGAATTTAAGACCACAGAAGCACAAGTGTAGAGAGCCACACGACCCAGATATACTCCACCGTCAATCATTTTCAGTAAAGGTAATGCATTTTTTTTCAGTAAACGTAATGCATGCCCATAAAATACTCGACAAATCTATAGTGGAGTCCATGTGCTTCAATATCTAAATGTTGTTTATGTTTAGAATAGATTTCATAAGTCATAACATTCAAATTAATACAATAGCCTCAATCTCTTTAAATTGATGAAATTTCAACTTAAACAGTCCAATTCGGTGATTTCATTGAAACATTCAAATTAATATGCAGTGTTTGGTTTCCGGCGTTTCTGCCCCAACATGTCCTAATATGCAGTGTTTCAGCTTTTAAGTACAAAAGAAACGGATTTATTAATTTAAACAATAGTTTGAAGTTACAATTAGTCAATAACTCAAAATCCAAGTTTGCACCTCATTCATA